CCTGGGCCTTCTAAACCTGGGCCTTCCAAACCAGTAGGGCAAGACGCAACTTACGCCGAGGCTCTGTACAAGTACAAGAGCGAGTGGCAAGAACGATTTCCTTGGGTCATACTGCTAAAAAAGGCTGACGGTTTCCCTGCTTTCAAGTGCAGGATCTGTACGGAGCATGCAGGCTACGCTGGACCGTGCGGGAGAGGCGGAAAGGGCGCCACAGACGTTCAGACGCAGTCGTTCAAACGGCATGCGGCAACTACGAAGCACAAGGAGGCGTTGAAACACCAGAAGAAGCTACTCGACGAAGCATCCACGCAGCCACGGATCAACAGCGACAATCTCGCTCGCGACACGGAGAAGGAGCGTGTCAGCAGGCTCCTCGACTCGCTGCTCTTCGTGACCAAGCAAGATGCACCCATAGAGTTATGGGTGCATCTCGTGCGCTACCTCGCGCGACTGAAGGTGCCTGGGTTCCCCGCTAAGGGCTACGGTACCTATTACACGACGTGAGTTACCGTTTTCTCGGGTTGCAACCGTGTATATGTAGATTAATAGCCGGTCTAACATTGTGTTGTTTGACCTGCGCTGCAGATACGGCTTTGGGCAGCTAACTCAGTCGATGGCTACGTGGTTGCACACAACGCAACTGCAGCACATCCTTAGCAGCCCATACCTAGGCATCACATGTGACGAAAGCACGGACAGGTGCTCTGGAAAGCACATGATTGTTTTCGCGTCTTTCATCCGTGACTGTCGTCCCGTGACTGAGTTTCTTGCCCTGCTGACCGTGGAGAAGGGCAATGCAGCCTCTCTCCTGTCAGTGCTCTTATCCCACCTGCAGGCCGTGGGCATTGAATTGGCGAGGATATCCGGCATAAGCACTGATGGTGCGAGTGTCATGATGGGGAAACACAACGGCCTGGTTGCACGACTTCGCCTGCGCATCCCGCACCTCGTCTCGAGCCACTGCATCGCCCACAGGTGGGTTCTTATGTTGTGTTTCCTGCACCCCTTAATGAATCCGCAGCCACCCGTGGTAATCACTAGTTGACCTGGTTTGCTTGTTGTTGTGCATGCAGGGAGGCGCTCGCCGCAAAGGCCGCCGCTGAAGAACTCCCCGAGTTCGGGATGGTGGACGCCCTGCTCCGCCAAGTGGCAGAGTACTTGGGGCGTTCGGGCCCGTGGCATCAACGGTTCATGGGCTTGCAGGAGGTCTTCACGAAAACGAACCTGGAGCTGCAGGGGATCCACGACGTCCGCTGGCTCTCCCGCGGTGACGCCATTCTGCGCGCGGTAGAGGTGTTCCCCGCGCTGATCGTGATGCTGTACGAGTGGGACAGCACCCTGTACAAGCTCGTCACGAGCTACAGGTTTCACTTCCTGCTATATTTCCTTGCAGACGTACTCGAGCAGCTCAATGTGCTGAACAAGGCATTCCAGCAGCGTGAGGTGAGCATGGTTTCGTACAAACCTTGAATATGTGCCCTGTTGCTGGTTTTGCTCCAATGTTTGGTGTTACTACCACAGCTCTGAGTTGGTCTGCCTTCCACACTTTTTCATCCATGTTGAACCCCCAACAGCTGGACATTGCTGGTGTTCACGGGCAGATCCGCCGGTCCATCTCCTTCCTTGAGTCCCGCTACGTCGACTGCGGTGACGACTTTGGAGGCGGTGTGAGCGCGCGACTCTCGCCATTCATCAAGAAGCACGGACCTGAGGGGGGCAAACCCGAGGTGAAGGTGCAGGGAGTCGACTCGGACGGGCGGCCCACTACACATACCTTCGAGCTGCACGAGGAACCGGACGACGACTACCCGACTCTCGGCTCCCACGACGCCTGCGTCGATCTCTGCACCACCTTCTCCGAGGCGCTCGTAAAAAACCTCACCACACGGTTCAAGGACCTGGACTCTCTGGTGGGAGTGCGGCTGTTCATGCCCGACGAGTGGGAGCTGGGGAGAGCGGAGCGCCACAGGCAGTGTCTTGAGTGGCTCGAGTCTCTCGTGAGGTTGTTCAGGGCACAGGACACGGACTACATCATTCCAGGTATTCCCGCTCTCGCTTTGTGCCTGACCGTATGTTACAACTGTGCGTTTTAGACGTATACCAGCCTGTCTAACTCCCCTCTTTTTCCCTTCTGCCTGATGTGGCAGGGGTCGACAAGCGGCGTGCGATCAAGGAGCTGCGTGCCTTCTGCCCCATCCTCGCTGGTGCCCCAAAGAACGAGCGCAGCTTCCTCGCCGGCCTCACAGCAGTGCTGAAGACAAGCGACTGGGCGGCAAGCTACCCCAATCTGGTGCGTCTCTGGGTGGCTGTCGCCGTGCTGCCGCTCAGCACTGTGGAGTGTGAGCGCGGCTTCTCACGCCAGAACGTGATCAAATCGTGGCAGCGGGGGAGCTTGAACGACGCCCGCCTCGAAGACCTCATCACGATGTCCCTGCTGGAGTATGAGCCTAACTACAATGAGGTGGTGCAGATCTGGCGCAGCTACAAGAAGCGCCGCCCATTCGGCAATGTGGTGGCACCACCAGCAAGAGAGGGGGAGGGGAGCGGTAGCAAGGGAAAGGAGGTCCTAGAGGAGGAGGAGATGGACGAACTAGAAAGAGACGATGCAGACGAGCAAGCTTCTTTTGATGATGACTTTTGATTAGAATGCTCCCAGACTCCATGCTTAGCTTGCTTGCTAGCAAGATAGGATTTGGTTTGAATTGAAGGCTGTTTGCATGCTTCGTATTGTTTTTAACTTAAAATAAAGATTACTACTGCTATCACCCATTTTCTGTGGGGGACACTGATAGATCAGACTTTTTTATTAAGTAACACTGAACTTTCAGGCTTTTTTCCAAGACGACCCTGACGATCAGGGTCTAGGGGCAGAGGAACCCTGATACCCTTACGTGCCTCAAAGTGAATCTGAGGCCCTGGACAGTGGTTACGATGCACGCTCTGTTATGGCATAAGCTTGCAGTGGTTGCACCACTGTGCAAAGTTGCGAAGATACACCCCTCTGCAAGCTACTTAGTCGGAAATGAGAAGCAGGGCGGAGGGGGGTTTATCATGGATACATGCAACATGGTAGTACAAGAGACACATCACATGCAACATGGTAGTACAATAGGGACATCACATGCAACATGGTCGTACAATAGGGACATCACATGCAAAACCCTAAGAGGCACATCATATGCAACATGATGTACGAGATGCACATCACTTGCAACATGATACGTACAAGAGACACATCACATGCAACGTACGGTATTACGAGAGGCACATCCCAAGGTTAGCACAACTCTTTTAGCTATACACATTGAGATTAACACACATTGAGATTTACAGCAGTGGCTGGGTGGAGACAGTAAGAATATGATTGCAGTAGGTGCAACAATGAGTAGGTAACCAAGGTGGGTGACAACATAGCACAGATCACTAGAGCATAGGCCACCATTCTGAGCTGAAGGAACTGGCTTGACTAGGATGACAAAATTGGTGCCACAAATCTATTGATACTAAGGCATATACTAGGTGGCCTGTCCTTCCCCTACACCAAATATCCAGAGTGAGACAAATTTGGATGATCTTCAAGAAAAAGGACAAGAGCTAGAGATTGGGTGGGTTGGGACTATGCACTATTTTCTGTTCATATTCTGTCCGAACATAATGTAGGATACGTAATAAAACACTAATTGCTTCTGATTTCCATGTTTCGGCGGCTGTATGTGCAACGAAGCTAGTTTTAATGGTGAGTCGATTGCTCCCTATCTGAACAGCATGTACGTATCATCCAAGCATAACTTTTCATGAACGTCAACGTATGCGACTAACTCAATTGCTGATACGGGCGCGTCGTAACCCAATTGCAGTCGCTGCGACGTCGCACGACGACACCTCCAAAGGGTCGTCGTATTTTGCGCAAACATCACGTGCCAGTTGTAAAGGCAGTCTCACGAGCACTTTCATTCGCGAAGCTCTCGCGACGGCCAGTCGTGCGATTTTCCAAGTCCAACAGTCGAACGAAGCGCATGTCTTTCCATTCCACCCATCATCATCCGCTATAACTGCTCGCTATCTCGCCCTTTCCACAACACAGCTGCCACGTGAATCTCCCCCCCCCCCCCCCCCACCCTTGCCCTCCGCTCAAATATATCTCATCTGCCATACAATTCCGTAAGCTCCCACTCCCCCAACCAAGCAACCCAACGGATGCAGCCTACTCCACAACCCCACCAAACCGCTTCCGTCGCCTTCCCAGCCCTCTTCACCAACGGCAGAAGGCAAGAAAGAGCAACGCAGCGCACCGACATCTCTTCGAGCACGGTCTTTCGGAAACCTCGCTTTTGTTGCAAAAGGTGTCTGTCGAAGGAAGTGTCGACTTGGCGGGAACTCCTCGCCAACTTCACCCAACGACCTTGAGTCGATCTTGGCTCAGCCCCCCCCCCGTTTCGCTCCGCGCCCGTCAACAACTGCTAGCCAGAATGGTGCAAATTAAGGAATTGTAAGATGCACAACGATTTTCCGAACGCGCTGGTATTGTTCGTTTACCAACGGATTCTCTAACTTGTTCCCTTCCCGCGTGTTTCTTGTTTTGCGTCGTCTGCACGGTGCCCCCTCGCCACGGGATCATTGTGGCGATATCGACGGCCATCTGCGCTCGTCGCTCGCCTCTCGTCGCTCGCCTCTCGACGCTTGCCACGCGTTGCTCGGTTCTCATCGTCCGTCGCGCGTGGTCCACCATCTTCAGCCGCATCACAATGCCCTTTTCTCTCGACGAGGTGCGCACACGCGCACAAGCAAGCGCACGCGCATACCCATGCGCATCCCCCCTTCAACTCATGCCCCGCAACGCAACTTGAGGCGGCTGGAAGCCCACCTTACCTGTCCTTTCTGACTAGACGCAAGGGGCACACTTACATGCAGTCGCGCATGCAACCTCCCTTCGCTCACGTCTTCCGTCCCTCCCCTCCCTTCTCCCTCACATTCTCGCCGTGCATTATCGCACGAGCCAGTATCACGTGGGGCACACCTATATGCGGTCGCGCATGCAAATGGAGAACACCAAGGGGCGCGAGGGCGTCGAGGTGATCGCCAGCGAGCCGTTCAAAGACGACGTCTTAGGCGAGGGGCATTTCTCGCACGTCGTGCACCACTTTCAGGGCCGCGCGCCCGCGTGGATCCGCGCGCTCGCGCCGCTCAAGGCGCTGCGGCTGGAGGAGAAGAACTGGAACGCGTACCCGCGCAGCCGCATGGAGCTCAGCGTAAGCATGCGAAGGATGGGGAGGGAAGGGGGAAGGGGGAGAAGGGGGGCATTTAAAGTGTGTGCGCGTGTCGTTGATTCAGCTACGTGCTATTTGCAGTTTGCTCCTCCTACGTCGTGTGCGGTCATGATCTAATCCATTTTCCTCCTCTGCTGTCTCCTCTCCGCCGCCCGTCACAGTGCCCGTATTTCACCACCTTCAAGATAGTCGTCGACACGTATCACCTCGCCGACCGAGGCGACACGGAGAACGTGAGTGTCCCGTGCTAGATGATGTGTCTCGCCAGGGAAAAGCTAACATGCCTAGGTGGTACTCGAGATGCAGCCAAGCATTATGACGCAGCGTGGGTGATTTGTTGTGGTTGCTATACATTCCCGCTCGACAGCTAGTTGCGCTGCTCTTGCCCAGTTTTGGTTCTCAACCACCCTCGTTCATCTCCTCATCCTCTTCTCTTCGTCCGCCAGGCGCTGGATCTGTCAAAAGCTGACGTGGCGCTACGCAAGGTGGACCACGTGGACATCGCGTCGGCCGACAGGGACATGTGGTCGCGCATCATCGCGCGGAAGCGCACCGACCCCTCCAAGATCGCCCTGCTTAAACTCAACCGCGGCCCGCTCGCCCCGGGATGGCAGGTAAGAATGAAGGGTAATTAGATGGTCCGCTGCTAGCTCGATTGTGGCTGATCGTCGTACCATGCTCTCTGTAACGAAATTGACGACTACTTGGTTTCGAAATTCAATCTGCGTTTCCATCCGTGTTTCAATGCAGAAAACGTGCGAGCCTGTGATGACGTCGTACAAGGTGATACGAGTGGACGCGCCCTACTGGGGGTTCGGCAGGCAGATGGAGCTCGCCGCAATCGCCGTGAGTGCTGCAGCGTTGAGTCGAGTGCTGTCTCTTCGCCGTCGCTGCGTTGATTCATGCGATTGTCGCAATGCTTGCTTCCACCGTAGAAAACGCCGCACCTGTGGCTATTTCTATTCTAACCCCCGTCTCTTCCCCTCCTCTCAATGTCCCTCTCCAATACTCCCCCCTTCTCCTTTCCCGCTTCCCCGTTTCCCCTTTCCCGTTCTCCCCGCGCCTCTCCCTCAGGCGCACCGCGCGCTTTACCTGGAGGCGTACAGGAAGTGCTATGCATGGGCGGACGAGTGGTGCGAGATGACTGTGGCAGACGCACGGTGGATCGAGCAGGAAAACATCGACAGAATGCGAAAGGTGAGGGCGGGTTGTAACATCCGCTTGAAACATTATTTGCAACTTCGACTATAATCTACTGACATCGTCTAAAGCTACTGTTAATGCACTCATGGGAATCCCAGGCTCGTACCATGAATCACCAAAGCCCGTTACAACCCTTATTTCTATCCTATGCCTTTGTCCTGACCCACTCATTCCCACCCTTTGCCCACATCAGAGCCTTTCCCTGAGTGACAACTTGGATGATGAAGCTTTCAGTGATGCTGTGGAGGATGCAGTGGAGGGGGAGGAGGAAGGAGAGGAAGAGGGCGTGTTCAAGTCGGTAACAGCTCTACCTGCTGTTGCTCCCGTAGCCGCATGAAGATGACAGCACACAGTAACAGCTGCACGATGTTGCAGCGTGAGCAATGCCATAAGCCTTCCCATGGCCATCACTAAACTGAGCTTCGGGCATCAGCTTTTGTGGGTGCATGCACCGCTTCGCAAACACACTCTCTGCAGAGAGTGAGGTGAGGGACAGAGGGGAGTTAATCCGGTCAACATGATACATGCAACATGGTTGCGCAAGAGGCAGAGGGGAGATAATCTGGTACTACACAGCAAGGGTCCTCCCACACTGCTTAAGGCTGAAATTCATTCCAGCTACTAGGCTTTATTCAGATGTTCTAGGGCGCCTCCACCCTGTCAGATGTTAGATACATTCTGAACCACACTGAAGCAGCGGTGGAGAAGCTGGCCCTGGACAGCCCATAGGGCAGAATGCTGCCATTTTCTTGTTTATTCCACGTACGGTAGCATATTTTGGTTAACACATAAGCAAGGAGTGATGACAAAAAAGCAGCTCAGATTCGGAAGCAGTTTCATAAGCAGTTCTCTTCATCACAACCGCGATACGCCTTTGCAAGAATCACCTCCCATCACCACACAATACTCCCAGGGCCAAATTGTGCAGACCAACATGTTCCCATCCCTTGCATGCACAGCACATCCATCAAAATGATAAAATCCTCCCCATGCCTGTCTCGACCCCATCATCCTTCGCACCCAACCCCATCAACCTTCGCACCCAACCCCATCATCCTTCGCACCCAACCCCATCAACCTTCGCACCCAACCCCATCATCCGTCGCACCAGCTCCTTTACATCCACAGCCATCACGACCATGACACCCGTCCGACTGTCTCGTCTCCCCCACTCAAGAACTCATCCTCACCATCTGACTCAACTGACAAGTCACCTCCCCCGCCTCCCTCTCGGTGACTCATCTTCACTTTCACTCTCGTCGTCCCTTCCCCTCCGCCTCCTCCCCCCCTCCCTGTCCCCCCGACCGCCCCTGACCTCAGGAGACACATCCCTCCCCCCTGCCCCCTTGCCCTCGCCCCTGCTCCCCCGCAAATCCCCCTTGCCACCTTTCGGAGCAGGAGACACATTCCTGCCTTTGCCCCCAGCCCTGCGTACAGGGGACCCATCCTCCCTCCCCCTAACCTCTGGAGACCCACCCTTGCCCCTACCGCCCCCGCCCCCACCCCCACCCCTGACTCCCCCTCTGCCCCCGCCTTCGGCCCCCCTGGGAGGGGGAGACGCGCTCCTGCTGTCATGTCGCGGCCTGGGAGCAGCAGCAACCTGCCTGCGGCGGGGAGGAGAGGGTGAGCGAGCGGGCGACCTGGAGGGCGAGCGAGAGGGAGACGAGGAGGGCGACGAGGGACCGGACGAGCTGGTGGGGGAAGCGGCAGCGGCAGGGGCAGCAGCAGCAGCCCTTACTGGCCGTCGCTGAGGGCTGGGGGAACGGCCTCGCTTGGGGCTGGGGGAGCGGGCGCGCTTGAACGTGGGCGGAGCGGCGCGTTTAGGGCTGGGGGAACGAGAGCGCTGGGGACTGGGGGAAGGGGCGGCTCTGGGGCTGGAGGCGCGATAGCGCTTGGGGCTGGGAGAGCGGGCGCGCTTGGGAGAGGCAGAGCGGCGATTGGGCGAGAGGTCTTTGGGCTCGGCGCGGAACGACCTCTGCTGCCTGCTGCCACGACCCTCCGAGTCCTTCTCAACCTGCGCTGCCTTCCTCCCCCGCTCCCGCTCCCGCTCCCCCTTGCGCCCCCTCTCCTCCTCCTCGCTCTCCGATTCCCCTCTCCCCTCCCTCACCCCCTCGCGCTTCTTGAACGAGATGCTCTTGCCAGCCATCCACCTGTCCTCGCCCTCATCATCATCAGCAGCATCAGTGGCGCGCGCGTCCCTCCGCTGTTTCTTCCGCTCACCCCCCTGCTCCTCCTCTCTCCCCCTCCCCCTCCTCTCGTCTCCCCTCCGCGTCTCCCCTTCGTCCTTCCGCCGCCCTTCCTCCCTCTTCCGCTCCGATCTCAACCTCTCCGCCTCCCTGCGCTCCGCCTCCTCCTCCCTCCGCCTAACTTCCTCTTCCGCCCTCCGCGCCTCCGCTTCCCGCGCCTCTTCCGCCCGCCGCGCCTCCTCCGCTTCCCGGAGCTTCCGCGCCTTCTTTTCCTTCCGCCTCATCTCCTCCTCCCGCTCCGCCGCCTCCTCCTCCGCCCGCCTCCGCGCCTTCTCTTCTTTCTTAAGCCTCTTCTTCATCTCTTTCTCCTCCTTCCGTCTCTGCTTCTCCCTCCGCCTTTCCTCCTTCTCCCGCTCCTTCTCCTCCCGCCGCCGCGCCTCCTCCGCCTCCTCCCGCGCCAGCTGCCGCTCCTGCCGCCGCTGCTCCTGCAGCTCGCGGTCGAACGCGTCCCCTTCTTTAGCAGACTCGTTAATGCGCAGAGCGGCCTTGAGCGTCTCCATCTTCTTCTCCTTGCGCGCCACGATCTGATGCGTCTGGTTCCTGCGAGACGTCGCCACACGTCGCCACACGTCGCCAACCGTCGCCAACCGTCGCCCACCGTCAGCACGAAAGGACCGGAAAACGAGTCAAAGAAAAGATTCGACAAAATCAGGAGCCAAGAAACCCTAGCGTACGTCAGAACGGCCGAGAAACGAGCGGAAACTCAGCGAGATAATGAGCCACCAAACATAACTAGCAGTCTAGCAGAATGGAACAGCAGCGAAGACACGTGGTTGGGTCAACTCACCCTAGCGACTCCAGCGTCAACTCACCCTAGCGACTCCAGCGCCTGGTCCTCCGATTCCTCGCGCATGGCGGCCTCGAGCTGCGCGCGCGCCTGCTCCATCTGCTCCTCCATCTCCTCCTCCAGGTACCCCTGCTCCTCCAGCGTCTCGCGCAGCAGCAGCAGCTTCAGCTCGATCTGCCGCTTCCGATCATGCTCCAGGATCTCTTTGTTCGCCTTGCGGCTAATTCCGCCCGTTCCCGCGCCTTCCTGGAACTCTTTCGCCTCGAATTTCGTGTGCCGGTGGCGAATCACGAATTTGTTCGCCTGCACGTATCCGTTGGTCCCCGACCCGCGGGCCGTCTGAAGCCCTATGCCGTTATACATGGCGGCTCGTTTTCACCGGCACTCAGCTCCGATATTTTTTAAGCTTTACTGAACCGTATTAGCAATCGATAAGCCTAGAGCGCAGAAATATAGCGGCAGAATTAGGAACGGCGAGGATCAAGATTCAAGAATCGAGTGGAGAATTGTGGAGCGGAAGAAATTAGGACGATGATGCTCGTAGTAGAAGAGAGGGAGGGATGATGTTAGGGTTTACATCCACTGTGGTTGGGTGGGGCAGGGCATGGCAGTGGGCAGATTGATAAAATGTATTGACTGCACAAAAAGTAAACACTTCACTGCACTGTATTCATTGCGAAAATGTATTGACAATACCAACCTGACCTGACAGAGTGGCAACCTCATGTCGACTGTGACCGTCGATCTTACCAGTTCAAGTGACGCGCTGAAGGCGAAAAAGTTCTATTTGCTGCAGACAATTCGTTACCCTGCATTACATAAACTCAAGAACTTGCCTCACCAAAAGGAAACGTCCTATAAAAAGAAAAAGCATTTCACATGCTCCACACAATTTGTGCGGGCACAGCACTGCCAGTAATTATTCCACAGGCTTTCAACAAAAATATGCAGTCGCTATGATAAACAGGTGTTCTTTTACTCTCATTTGTCCAATTCACTTGATACCCCCCCTCCGGAGGCTCTTCCACTTTTATCCAAACCTGCTTCTCTCCCGTCAGCTCCACTCTCCTCGCCTTGCATGAATGGTGGGACTTCACCAGCCACGGCACCAGCCGCCACACCAGCAGCTGCCGCTTCTGCAGCCGCCACCTCAGCAGCCTCTCGCCGCCGTTGCTCCTCAACGACCCGCTCAGCCGCCACCCGGCGGGCCTCTTCCACATGCTGCCACATGTCATCGCCTGGTTGGACACCTGCTCGCTGCATATCTTCCAAGATTGCCACCGCTGTGTCAATCTCCAGGAGCCCAAGGCACGTGTTGACCACCGTCTTGTAGAGGTTGCTGCAAGTGAAGGGGAGGAAAAGAGAGGAAGGCAGGGGAGGAGGGAGAGCAGACCGGGATGGAAGAGCAGGGAGCAGAGGCAGTTGGTTAGAAATGGGATGGGAAGGAGGTGAGTGCTACAGAACTTTCAAGTTGGACCAATTTTTGGACAGGACAAGGGCGAGAAGAGAAGCAGGCGTGCATCGAATGTATGCAATATCCTTATAAGCTCAATAACCATGGCAGAATGCGTGATACGAGGAGTGGCAAGGCCATGTATTGATGGCACCATCAGCTTACAATGTGCACCAAGGGACATGCTCAATGTTTCACTCACATGCCGAACTTGTGACCAATCGCGTGCGACTTCTCGACAACCCCCTGCATAATACGACAATCGTTGCCGTCCACTGCCGCCCACAGCACCATGCAGCAGTCCGCCAGGGTTGGCACGCCACCCAGCTCAATCACCTGAGGGAGCAACAAATGGCACGGGCAGTGGGAATGGTGAGAGGGAAGCTTTGTCCCATATAAGCACAAAAGACAGACTCATTCGCTCGTCGCATCGTATCATCATCTCTTTGTCCCAATGCCTCACTCCCTTATTGTCACTTTGTCACTTCCTCTCATCCTCACCAGTTGAAAGATGCTCCAAGCGCTGTCCAGCTCCATCCTCTCACTCCACGGCAGCACCACACGCTCCTTGTCCGCCCGCTCCCACCAGTGCCCCCACCGCTCCTCCAGGGTGAAGATGCCGTCCAGAGTGGTGGAGAGCGGTATGAGGTCCTCCTCTGCGCGGAACGCCTGCATCTCCTCGTCCTCCTCTGCTGCCTGCGCTGCTGACCCCGCCAGGATGGCCGGCGCTGCTGCGTGCACCTCCCCCTCGTCCTCATCATCATACAGGTCCTGCATGGAGGGGGAGACGGGGGGTGGGGGGAACCGGAGAAGATGGAGGAGGATGGGATGAATGTCTTGCTCTCATCCTCGTCGTCATACCAGTCCAAGGGGGTGGTCAGAGGGGGCCTGCATCTCCTCGTCCTCCTCTGCTGCCTGCGCTGCTGATCCCGCCAGGATGGCTGGTGCAGCTGCATGCACCTCCCCCTCGTCCTCATCATCATACAGGTCCTGGGGGAGGGGGAGTGGGAGGGGAGGTGGGGGAGGGGAGAGGGGGAGCGGTAGGGGAAGCGGGAGGTGGGTGGGTTTGAAAAAGCTGCTGCATGCACCTCCCCCTCGTCCTCATCATCATACAGGTCCTGGGGGAGGGGGAGGAGGGAAGGGGAGAAGGGGTCAGGGAGTGGGGAAAGTGGAGAAGGGGGGAAAAGGAGCAGTAGAGCACAAGCGTTAAAGAGCTTGAGAGCCAAGTGCATGAGAGGACGAGAGCATGAATGCACGCATCTGTGCACTTCGCCTCTCATCTCACCGACGACTTGGCCTTGGCTCTTCCCGCTGCGCTCCCACCCCCGCCGCCCGCACTGCCGCCCACAAGCTGCGACGTGAGCAGCCCACCGCCGCCCCGCACGCCCTCCTCCTCCATTGCCAGCACCGACACCTCCCTCTCTGCTCCGCCGCCCAGCATGCCGCCCACCTGCCCCGGCGCCACCTCCTCCTCGTCCACCGCCTCGTCCTCTTCCCCCACCGCCCCCTCCTCCTCTTCGTCCTCATCCTCCTCATCATCTATCACATCGTCAACTTCTAATTCCTCCTCCTCCTCCTCTTCCTCCTCATCTTCATCATCCTCATCTTCTTCCTCATCTTCCTCCTCTTCCTCTTCCTCCTCCTCCTCCTCCTCCTCTTCCTCCCCGCCGGACAGTGCCGCCCGGATCCGCTTGTCTTCCACGCGCTGCCGCTCGTCCGCCGCCCGCTGCTTCTCGTCTGCTTCCCGCTGCCGCTCGTCCTGCTCGCGCTGCTGCTGCGCCTCACTCGCCCGCCGCTCGCTCTCCCGCATCATCTCGATCACCTGCGGCCACGACGCCGCTGAGCCGTCCAGGGTCAGGTGCTCCAGCAGATACTCCACTCTTGCGCTCGCCTGTAAGACAAGGGGGTTACAGGGAAAGGCAAGGAGAAAAGGAGTCTCAGTCATCTCTATCACCTGCGGCCATGACAGCGCTGTGCCGTCTAGAGTCAGGTGCTCCAGGAGATACTCCACTCGGGCACTCGCCTGTGAAACAGGAGACTGTGGGGACGGTGAGAGGGAAAGAGAAGTTTATCCCTCATTTGCTACACAATCACCTGTGATCATGCCACTGCTGTGCCATGCCATCGCTTCAGCAAATACTCCACTCGCTTTCTCAATAGCCTGTGACCGCCACCCACCTACACCACACAGCACCCCAATCTCACCTGCACCACTCAGCACCACTCCAATCTCACCTGCATGACGGGCTCTCGGGTCTGCGGCGTCCACAGCGGTTTCCCCAGCGCCTTGTTTAGCCTTCTCGCGCGCTGCACTCGAGCATACAGCACGGCACGGTTGCCATCGGTGGGCAGCCCCTGCCCCGCCAGCTCCTGCCGCAGCTCCCCCACCACCATCTTGCTCGCCGCCTTGGGCGCCCTTGCTCCCCCCCTCGCCCCCATCAACCCCCCCGTCAGGCCCCCCGTCAAGCCCCCGGTTAGGCCCCAAGAACCAGCAGCACTGGTGCTGGTCGTGGCAGTGCTAACAGCAGTGCCTGCATCACCACTAGAAGAAGCACCGGCAGCAGCAGATGCGGCTGGGAGTAGGGCGGATCCGCCTCCACCCATGGGAGTGCCTGCGCCCGCCCCTGTGGGGCCCTGGATTTGTAGCTCCATTTCCAGCCACTCCGCCACTTCTACCGCCTCCTCCTTGCTCACTCCCAGTTCTGCCGGCCATGCTGCCACTCCCTGGAAGATGGGGGGAGTGGTGAGGGGAGACGAGAAGGGGGGGTGGAGGGAAGGGGTGATGGGAGTGCCTGCCTGTGCTCGCCCCTGTGGGGCCCTGGATATGCAGCTCCATCTCCAGCCACTCCTTTTGAGTCGACTCAAAAGCTCCATCTCCAGCCACTCCTTTTGAGTCGACTCAAAAGCTCCATCTCCAGCCACTCCTTTTGAGTCGACTCAAAGCTCCATCTCCAGCCACTCCGCCACCTCCACCGCCTCCTCCTTGCTCACCCCTAGGTCCGCCGGCCGTGCTGCCACTCCCTGGTTGATGGGAGGGGTAGTGGGGGAGATGAGAGGGCGGAAACTCGACCACACTCTACCGCACTCAACCGCAGTTTACCGCACTCAACCGCAGTTTACCGCACTCAACTGCAGTTTACCGCACTCAACCGCAGTTTACCGCACTCAAGTAAGGTGGATGGAGACTCGACCACACTCTACCGCACTCAACCGCAGTTTACCGCACTCAACTGCAGTTTACCGCACTCAAGTGTTCTCACCCGCCACATGAGTGTGTAGTAGAGCTGCTTGCGGTAGGCCCTGAAGCGCCGCACAAGGCTCTCCTCGAACGACACGATGGGGGGTGGCAGCCAGAAGAGTGTAATGAATTCGCTCACCTTGCACTCAACCACACTCAACTGCACTCAACCGTACTCAACTGTTCTCTCTCCCCCATCCACGCTCTCACCCGCCACATGAGTGTGTAGTAGAGATGTTTGCGGTAGGCCCTAAAGCGGCGCACAAGGCTCTCCTCGAACGACACCGTGGGCGGCGGCAGCCAGAAGCCCGGCAGCTCGTCCGTCTCCATCTTGACCCGCCACCACCCCCCGTGGCGCTCCATGTCCCTCTTCTCCCTCCTCTCCACACTCCAGTTGTCCGACTCGTCCGCAGCCCTGGTGGGGGTACAGGACAGGTGCATTCGGGGGGTAGGGGCACACAGGAACACAGGAACACAGGCAAAAGGGCAGATAATACAGAAGGGATCAGATCACGACAGAAGGGTGGGTGAGAGAGGAGAGAGCAGCCAGAAGCCCGGCAGCTCGTCCGTCTCCATCTTGACCCGCCACCACCCCCCGTGCCGCTCCATGCCCCTCTTCTCCCTCCTCTGCCTGCTCCACTCCTCCGACTCCTCTGCGGCTCTGGTGGGGGTATGGGCACATGCGCACAAGATAAAAGCTTCTGTCTACAAGAAGGGGTGAAGCCAGAAGGCAGGCTCTAGGCTGGCTATAGGCTGGCTGTAGGCTGGCTCTAGGTTGGCTATAGGCTGGCTCTAGGCTGGCTATAGGCTGGCTATAGGCTGGCTCTAGGCTGGCTCTAGGTTGGCTATAGGCTGGCTCTAGGCTGGCTATAGGCTGGCTATAGGCTGGCTCTAGGCTGGCTCTAGGCTGGCTATAGGCTGGCTCTAGGCTGGCTCTAGGCTGGCTCTAGGCTGGCTCTAGGCTGGCTCTAGGCTGGCTCTAGGCTGGCTCTAGGCTGGCTCTAGGCTGGCTCTAGGCTGGCTCTAGGCTGGCTCTAGGCTGGCTCTAGGCTGGCTCCATGTCACCATTGCTTCCATGCGCACACCAGCGTGCACCGCTGTTGATGCTCATGCTGATATGCTGATGCTGGTGCTGGTGCTGGTGCTGATGCTGATGCTGGTGCTGATATGCTGATGCTGATGCTGATACTGATGCTGATGCTGATGCTGATGCTGATATGCTGATATGCTGATGCTGATATGTTGATGCTGATGCTGATATGCTGATGCTGATGCTGATGCTGGTGTTGATATGCTGATGCTGGTGCTGATGCTGATGCTGATGCTGATGCTGATGCTGATGCTGATGCTGATACTGATGCTGATACTGATGCTGATGCTGATGCTGGTGCTGATATGCTGATGCTGATGCTGATATGCTGATGCTGATATGCTGATGCTGATGCTGATATGCTGATGCTGATGCTTTTCTTAATATGATGCTCATAATCCCGACGCCACCCGCATCTCACCTCTGAATGTAATCAGTGGGCTGGCCATAGTCGGGTTCCATGTCGCACGGCTGCATCCATGCTGATACCAGTGCTGGAGATGATTGTCATGAAGATTATACCCATCACCTGATTATACTCATGTTAAATCTCATACCTTTGAATGTAATCAGTGGGCTGCCCATAGTCGGGTTCCATGTCGCACGGCTGCATCCATGCCGAAACCAGTGTGCGCCGGGTGCGCTTGTCCACCAGCAGTGCCGACTCTGGCAGCCTCACTCTGTCTCGCACCATCGCCTGCAGCACCTCCTGCATCTCCTGCACCAGACCTGCGAGCAGGAGGGTAAGAGGGAAAGAGGAAAATCATGGCATCAAGTAGGATGGCCTGCAGCATCTCCTGCATCTCCTGCACACATGCACCTCCGCAGGATGACCTGCGGCAGACTTTTGAGTTTTGAGGCGCCTCAAAAGTCGTCACCTGGGGCAGACCTGCGGAGGAGCTGGGGCAGCGAGCGAGGGGGGGAGAAGGGGAGGAACGCGAGAAACGAGGAAAAGAAACTCACAACATTCCATTCTTCCCCATCAGCCGAGAAGCTCACTTGCCTGCTGTCACACGAACCCACCTGCCCGGCAGAGCGCTCTGAGAAAGAGCGCAGTAGGGTGGTAGCGGTCGCCCCTCTGCACATCCAGGCAGCCCATCTGGCATGGCAGCTGCCAGCCGCTATCGTATACATGGGCAAATGGCGAGTCGAGTTTTACTTGACTCGTTTTGACAAGTTTTTTCCCTTTGACGAGTCGACTCGAGTTTTACTCGTCGAGTTTTTTTGGTCAAAATGCTGACTCGAAACTCGCCCCAAAGTCGAGTTTTTTGAAAACTCGGATGAGCCTTAAAAAAACTCGTCCAAGTCAAGTAAAACTCGACTCGAATTAAACACTACCCTAACCTAAAACCCCAGCCACAAGAAAACAGTTGTAGGGTGCCCAGAAAACTGCCACACGCGTCAACACCCACAAACGACCCAGCCAGCCCCACCTCTCCTCCCCCCTTTCACTTTCCAAAAAAGCTACTCACCGCCACACCAGCTGCACTAGTGTTCACAATTAAGTGGTGGAACACATCCAAAACAGCGAGCCACACCTCCAGCAGCATATTAACCCAGAAACAGACATTTGTACTCCCCCGTGGTGGACCATTTGATGCACGAGTTTTTTAAAACTCGTCTAGGTTAAACAAAACTCGTGAGTGAAAAAAAACTCGCGAGTTATGGGTAACTCGCCTGTCTAGCCGAGTTTTTCACGAGTTTTTTTAAACTCGCGAGTAAAAATCGACTCGTTTTCACGAGCTTTTTTTACCAAAATCAGAACTCGAAACTCGTTATTTTCGAGTACTTCAAACGAGTCTAGTAAAAACTCGACTCGTTTGCCCATGTATACGCTATCGGATCGGACCTTTGAGGCGCCTCACAAGTCGGGACCCACCTGCCCGGCAGAGCGCTCTGAGGAAGAGAGCAGTGGCGTGGTAGCGGTCGCCCCTCTGCATGTCCAACTTTGTTGACTCGCCTAGAGCAAACATCAGCTGACAACCCACCTGCTCGGCAGAGCGCTCTGAGGAAGAGAGCAGTGGCGTGGTAGCGGTCGCCCCTCTGCACGTCGAGGCAGGGCATCTGGCCTGGCAGGCGCTGCAGGGCCCGGAAGTGCCGCACTGCCTCTGATAAGAAGTTCCAGTCCTTGCAGAATATCTCGATCAGCAGACTAGGGGAGGGGAAAAAAGAGAGGGACGGGGGAGCGGCAAAGGCAGGGAACACAGCTATTCGGAACAGATGCAGGGGAAAGTGCCGCACTGCCTCTGATAGGAAGTTGCAGTCCTTGCAGAATATCCCCACTAGCAGGCTGGGGAGGGGAGGGGGAGAAAAGTTGGGGGGGAAGGGGGCGCAAAGATGGAGGATGGGGGGAAAAGGCAGGGGACAAGGGCATGGGAAAAAGGTGTGGAGGGGAAGTGGCGCACACCCTCTGATAAGAAGTTCCAGTCCTGACAGAATATCTCCACTAGCAGGCCGGGGAGAGGAGGAGGGGCGGGGGAGGGGATGGAGAGAGGGGAAGATAAGGGTGGCGGGAAGGCAGGTAATAAGGGTATGGGAAACAGGTGTGTGGGGAAGTGACGCACGGCCTCTGATAGGAAGTAAGGGCACAGACAGAGGCAAGCAAGGTAGTGAGGTGAGGGCATGGACAAGGCAAGCACAGGACAGTTGGAGGGCAGGGCACATACGCATAGGTGTTGCCGTTGGGATGCAGTGCACGGTACTGCACCACACCACCCTGCACGGTACTGTCCTCACCATGCGCCCGATGGGAGGAAAGGCGAGTGCACGCAACGTGGAGAAAGATACGTGCACATAGTCACATACTCGCAGTCAAGCAAGCTGTAGCCAGGGTACAAGCAGGGCATGGGAGGCGAGGGCACGTACGCGTAGGTCTTGCTGTTGGGGTGCACTGTGCTGTCCTCCACCATGCGCCCTATGAACTCCAACGTGTCCTCGTACCTGCCATGCAGCGGAGGCGGGAGGGGGACAGGGGGCATGAAGCAGGGGGCAGGGAGCCGGGGGCATGAGGGCAGGGCGTGGGAGCAAGGGCAGGGCGTTGGGGTGCACAGTGCTGTCCTCCACCATGCGCCCTATGAACTCCAACGTGTCCTCGTACCTGCCATGTGGGGGAGGGAGCAGGGAGCAGGGAGCAGGGGGCAGGGGGCATGGGGCAGGGAGCATGAGGGCAGAGCGTTGGGGTGCACGGTGCCGTCCTCCACCATGCGCCCAATGAACTCCAACGTGTCCTCGTACCTGCCATGCCGGGGAGAGGGGGGGGGGGGGCGGAGGGGGGCATGTGGCAGGGGGCAGGGCGTAGAAGATCTCAAGTGTGATGTGATGTGATGTGATGTGATGTGATGTGATGTGATGTGATGTGATGTGATGTGATGTGATGTGAAGAGCGTCATTGAAATGACATTGGTTGAGCAGATGCAATCGCTGCACATATTTGGGGCCCAGCCAGACTCACAAACGAGGACTGGGGGCTCAGTTTATCAACCCTTTGCTGTGACTCACTCACCTCTCCTGGGGATGTGCGGCGAAAGCCTCAAGCACCCAGTTGTAGGAGTGCACGTCAGGCTTGCCCTCCCTGCGACTCTCCTTCAGCCCCTCTGTCGCCATGGAGTGTATGACATGCAAGTTTGGAGGGCAGTGCACATGGGGCACACATGGGCCACACATGGGACACATGATACACATGAAGCATCTCAAAACATCACCTCACCACACCCATCTTCTCAGGAATCTTTTCTCACTCACTTGCACCCTCTCATCCGCACCCACTCACCCGCGCCCAACCTCACCCACCCTCCTGCCCTCACTCCTCCTTCCCCACTCCTGCCACTCACCACGTTGCTCCGCCACCATGGCTTCCAGCTTCTGCACTGCAATGTCCAACTCGCCCGCCTTATGTGCCCACGCATAACCCCACCCCCCCTCCCCGCCATCCGCAACATCCCTCGCGGCCCGCCCACAACCCCAGCCCTCCCAGTCACCGCGTTGCTCCTCCACCATGGCCTCCAGCTTCTGCACTGCAAGTTCCGGCATGCCCATCTTATGTACCCACGCATACCCCCCTCGCCCGCATTTGCACCACCCGCCCTCAACCCCACCTCGTCCCACTCACCGCGTTGCTCCTCCACCATCGCTTCCAGCTTCTGCACCGCAACGTCCGGCACGCCCGCCTTGCTCTGGTGGGAGGGGAGGAGGGGGAGCCGAAGTGATAGTTGACAAGGGGTGGGAGGGGGGAAGGAAGGGGTTGAAAGGGGTTTGAGGGGTGGAGCGTTGCTCCTCCACCATAACTTCCAGCTTCTGCATCGCAACGTCCGGCACGCCCGCCTTGCTCTGGTGGGAGGGGAGGAGGGGGGGGGGAGGGGGGCGGGTGGGGGAAGGGGGGTTGGTGTTGATGTGGTTGAGTCAGAATCATATCCCCCACCCCCGAGCCTAGCTTGGAGAGGCTGTCACACCCGCGTGGGGTGGAGGGGTAAGAGTGATAGTTGACGAGGGGTGGGAGGGGGGCAGAGGGAGATTGAGGGGTGGTGCAACATGGCTTCCAGCTTCAATACCACTATGTCCGTCTTGCCGTCTGGTGGGAGGGGAGGAGGGCGGGTGGGGGGTCTAAGAATGACGCTCCTCAAAAATAGACTTGTGCTCTGCTCTGTCCGGCACCCCCCTCCTGTGTGATAAGTCGATTTTTGAGTCGACTCAAAAGCTCCTCAAAAATAGACTTGTGCTCTGCTCTGTCCGGCACCCCCCTCCTGCTCTGGTTCAAGGGCAAGAGCCATAAGCAGGAACGAGGAGAGAGATAGAGGTGCTTGCTTCCCCAATAGATACGCCAGCCCCACGACCCCACCCTCCCACACACGCCACGCACCATGCTCATGAGCACGCAGTTATGGTGGAAACCCCCACCTCCCCCCACTCTCCCCCCACCCTGTCACCCCCCACGCACCATGCTCATGAGCACGCAGTTGTGGTGGAACATGGCGGGCGCGTCCATCCCTCTCCGCACATCCCACCGAAACCACTCTACACTGCACTCTGTAACACGCCCCATGCCCCATGCCCATGCGCCTCCCTCCCTACACGCCACGCACCATGCTCATGAGCACGCAGTTATGGTGGAACGTGGCAGGCGTCCATCCGCGCTGCTCCAGAGCGTTCATCACGTCATGTGCGTCCGCATGCCTTCCCTCCCGGCAGCTGCTCTCCACCACCGTGTCTATGAGGCCTGCTGTGGGCCACATCCCGTCCTCCACTCCTCTTAGAAGCAGCGCCTTGCCCTCCGCATGACTGCCCGATGCAAATAGCTCCTCTGGAGGAACAGGGGTGGGGGACGGCGGAGTGGGGATGGGAGGGCGTTCTTAAGAGCTGAAAGACTCTGAAGTTGAGGCGCTTTGGGGAGTAGACCGGATGAAAAATACTCTGGTGGTTGGCTCGCAAGGGGTTGCGTGGGAATGCGAGCAGTGGCGAGCAGGGGATCGAAGGGGTTGAAGCAGGGGAGGGGGACAGGGAGGGAAGAGAAAGAAACGTGGAGGCGCAAGAAACGAGAAGGAAGGCGTTTGTTGTGGGCTATATCCCTCAGAACCGAAGCTCTGCCCACCCCACCCCCCCGCTCCACCAAGCCGCCCTTGTCACTCACCGATAAGGACGACCCACGCCGCCCGCTGATTGAGCTGCAGTTCCCCCATGAGCGCGAGGATGCCCTCCCCCTCCGCCACCTGCCCCCTCCGCCCGCTCAGCCGCAGCACCGCCACCAGCGTCTCGTACAGCGGGAACACGCCGCTGTTTAACATGCGGCGCATGGCGCGGCGCTGATAAGGGGAGAGGGAATGGAGGAGAAATGGAGAGAGGATGGTGAGTAGGGGGTAAGAGAGGCACTGTGCCTCTCTGCCTGCCGCTCAGCCGCAGCACCGCCACCAGCGTCTCGTACAGCGGAAACACGCCGCTGTTCAACATGCGCTGTAACGCCCGGCGCTGATAAGAGGGGAACAGGCGGTAAGGGGAGAGGAGGGTGACGGTGGGAAAGGGGGATATGTTTATGAGTTTAAACTCAGTCGCAGCACTGCCACCAGCCTCTCGTACAGCGGAAACATGCCGCTGTTCAACATGCGCTGTAACGCCCGGCGCTGATAAGAGGGGAACAGGCGGTAAGGGGAGAGGAGGGTGACGGTGGGAAAGAGGGGATATGTTTAAGAGTTTAAACTCAGCCGCAGCACCGCCACCAGCGTCTCGTACAGCGGAAACACGCCGCTGTTCAGCATGCGCCGCAGGGCACGACGCTGATGGGGAGAAGGGCAGGGGGCGGAGGGGAGGGAGGATGGGGAGGCATTTAAAGGCAGATGGTGCCTTTCTGCCTGCCGCTCACGCGCAGCATTCTCCACAGGGGAACAGGGGAGACGGGGAATTCGATGCAAGCGCGGGAAGACGCGGAAGGGACGCTGGGAGGCTCGTGATGGTTCGTCTCGCTCTCAGGCTCTCAGCCACACCACATGAAACGACCAGAGACGTCTTTCAAGACTTGTTCAAACCGACTCAAAGGACATTTGACTCCTTTCCCCTCTTCCCGGTGAATAGGCACGTGGCAGCAGTCCGCTCACCGCTTCAGAGAGGTCCCCCCTGACTGTGTGTACGACCACAATGGCGTGGTGCGCCCGCGTGCCCCCCTTCTCTTTTTCCCCCTTCTCCCTTTGCCCCCCTTCTCTTTTTCCCCCTTCCCCCCTTGCCCTCCTTCCCTTTTTCCCCCTTCTCCCCTTGCCCTCCTTCGCTTTTTCCCCCTTCTCCCCTTACCCTCCTTCCCTTTTTCCCCCTTCTCCCCTTGCCGCCCTTCCCTTTTTCCCCCTTCTCCTCTCGCCCCCTTCCCCTCCCAACTAACAGATACGCCGCAACACCCGCCTTACCGCTTCAAAGAGGTCCCCCTTGGACGTGTGCACGACCACTGCGGCGTGGTGCGCGCGCGCGCCCGCCCGGAGACCCAGGCGGCGCATCTCCGCCATGCGCGCCTCCACCTCCTCCCCCGCGCCCGCACGGCTGCTGCGCGCCAGCGACTCCGCGAAGTACAGGCGCAGCTGCTGCGCGTCCAGCGCGGAAACCGGCACTGGGGAAGGGGGAGGCGAGAAGGGGGTGGACGGGAGAAAGGGGAGGGGTAGGAGGGGAGAGGAGAGGGGAGAAACTGTTTGGTCTGAAAAACTGCCAGAAGACGAGTATTTCTGCCGGCGCGAAACGAGCGCCACGGCCCACCAGCCTATCCCGCCACTTCCCACAGCGTTGAACATTCGGAGCACATCACACTAGCACGCTCGTGCACACTCACGCACAGCATAAATCGCGCCCACCCCTCTCGTCTTCTCGCCACCCAAGTGGACAGCTTAGAAGGCGACCTCACTTGTGGAACCGAAATGCACACCTGTGAAGCCAAGCTCACCTGTGGATCCGAGCTTGTCGAAATTCAGCAGCCACTGCTCCGACTGCTGCCTCCTCTCCCTCCTCTCTTCCTCACTCTCCTCCTCCTCTTCTTCCTCCTCCTCCCATCCCTCCTCCTCCTCCTCCTCTCCCTCCTCCTCATCCTCCTCCTCCTCATCCTCCTCCTCTTCCCATTCCTCCTCGTCGTCCTCCTCTCCCCCCTCCGAACCTCCATCCACCGTTCTAAACCCCTCCACCTGACCATTCACTCCCGCTCCCCCCCCCACCGCCTTGACTTGCGCGTGCGATCCATCCTGCGACAAAGCCTGCTCCTGGCCGCCGCTCGCCGCCGAACCCGTCGCAGTTGTCGCACGTGTCGCACTAGCTGCGTCGCCGTCGCTTGCTCCGCCGACAACCGTCGTCCACGACTCGGAATCAGACGACGACGCTAACGACCGAACGACCCTCCTGTGCTGCTTGCTCTCACATTCACCCCCATTGCCGCACTGCGGTACCGGACTGCACCTCGCAGCAAATACTGGCCCAACAACCTCTCTTCTTAATCGAGTCAAGACACCAGGTTGTTTACTCGACGATGTGACTATATCGGGGACCGTATAACGGGTTGTAACCCTAGGAACCGAGATGACTGGAAGTCGGATCCCTAGCAGCTGAGAGCGAGAAATCGGAGAAAGGATGACGCGGGCGGGTTTGGGTTTATGATAAGACTTGACCAGAGGTAGTTGGTACGCGGGCCTCGAGTGACCCGAGACAGCAGGATACGATGTCGCCATCAAGACTGCCGCGGAGATTTAGAACCGTGCGATGCGATTTGACGGCTCCCGGCGAATGCGATATGTCAGAGACACATCAGGGACTGGGCTTCGCTTCGCCTGATGACCCGCTAGCCTAATCCGGCGAAAGGTTAAACAGCAGCGCGATGGACTATCACCATTCCAGGCGGGAGAGTTAACGACGACCTAGGACTGGCAGCTGGAAAGGCTGGTTTCGACAATCCCAAGGCTCAGATATCCACGACGAGCCAGGGGGGTGCAACTATGGAGGGAGGAATGGATTATGAAGCCAGACAAAATCTGTCCCTTGAACCGCCGCTGACACCACACCACGCACGAATCCTCGCTTCACAATGACTATGTACCGATATGAGGTATAAGTGCGACTCTGAAAAAAGGCGTAACGAGATGGAAACAGATCTTGAGAATAACTGTAATCATATCAACTATCTTCTTGAATGTGGCAAGCAGGGATGTGTGTTATCAAGCTATCACGTTTGACACACTTACTAGCCACTTCTCCCATTGCTTAAGATACTAGTTAAAAACAGAACTGACCCCAATACCCTATTGCCTCCACACCAGTCTCTGTTTGGTGTGTCCCCGCCCTGGGTCTGGCTGGAGCTGCTTGGCTGCTATGTTGCTTGCCTTGCAATCTTAGCTGGTCGGCTGGTTGGCTAGTTGATTGATGTTGGGGGTGGTGGGTGTGGGATGGCAGCTGCAGATGCAGGGATGGAGGATGCAGCAATAGTACATCTGAGTGTACAACTGAGTGGCGTCTACTGTACTCTTGCTGCACAGCATGGCTGTCTGTCATGCCTGCGGTTACTGCACTTGACACAGCAGCACCTCACTCTCACTCAGGGCCATGAACGAGTGCTTGGCCTGTCGCAGCCAGGCCCTCATCATGCCACGGCACAGCACATCACCTGCAGGAGGACACTCCGTCCGGTTTGGGTGTTTGTGCCCAGGCGTCTTCCAGGCTGCCCACCCCACCCACCTATTCCACAACATGCAGGCCCATCCCACCACAGCACAGCACAACACAGCACGCCCAAGCAAACCAAAGCACAGCTAAGCACACTTAACTTAAGCACACCCAAGCAAACCAATGCACGGCTAAGGACAGCGGCGGTCCATCTTGAGCTCTTGGTTGTCCACGGACCACCGCCATGCGGCAGCCCAGATGTCCTTTTCAAGACTCAAGAGTAAGTTGACAGTCCTCTACCCTGCCCTGCACTTCACCACAGAAGAGCCACCTCTGAGATGCCGACGGGACAGCAACGGGACATGGAAGAAAGCGGACGCGAGCGAACAGAGAGAACAGAGAGCCACTTAGAAGCTGCAAAAGCGCACATCACCACAGAGAAGTGAAGCTGATTCAAGGGCACAAAAGAGTTGTTTATAATGTTCATGCCAGGTCGCCATTGTGAAGTAAGCATGAAGTGAGAAACGTACTACCTACCCCAGAGATAGCCATTAGCAAGACCAGCAACTCCTTCTTTTAGAATCTCCCATCACACCTACCATGTAGAATACACAGCACCGATGTTGCTACCACTGCTTCCACCACAGATGCTGCCAGGAACAACCGTGGGGCATAGAGAGGGGAGAAAGCAAGAGAGCAACACAAGGAGACAGACAAAGGGAGAGGGATGGAGACCAGGTCACCATAATAATAGGACACAGAAAAAAAGGAGGACGAGCAGCATGAGGAGAAGGATGAAGGGAGACAAGAAAGACATCAAAGCAAAGATAACAACGCAAACCATATGAAAAACAGCACTTTAAGGGAAATCGGAAGCACTAGACTAAGCTGTACTCACCCTTCCATTGCTACAGCAGCAACCACTGCAGTGGCCATGGATGCTCCAACTGCTCCTGCCACCATTGCTGGTGCTGCTGCCACCGATGCTGCCCGTGCTGTTGGTGCTGGGTGAAAGGTGCTGCTCTGCGGGCCATGGAACAGAGGAGAGCAGAGAAGAGAAGATGGCCAGAGAGGAAGGATTTGACAGCTGAGGACAGTGGCATGAACATCTGGTAACACAGTCACGGGCACCAGTGTGGCAAGAAGGTAGACATAGTAGAACTGCATAAGAGAAAGCAGGAAAATGGTGAATGGAATAGCGGTATACACATTGATCTGCTCCACTCTTAAGTCGGTGTGTGCTTGCCATCATCCTGCAGTCGCTGCAGCCACTGGTGATCCGCTGCAACCACTGGACAAAGCACACCGCACTGCACGGCTTGGAGCCTGAGAGACCCACGCACACGCACACAAGGACAGGCGCCGCCCTCCTATCCCCAACCCCCTCCTCTCTCCCTCCCACCCCCCTCGTTCCACCCCTCCCCTTCCACTCCTCCCCACCCCTCCGTCCTCACAATCATGGGTAGACAAAACACACACACACAGAAGCGGCGCAAGAAGGGAGGGTTAGGAGCAACAGGAGAGGAGGCGAGTGGCAGAAACAAGAACAAGAGACACGACTCTTGCCTCTGCGCGGCGACTCACTTCATAGCCCCCCTGCAAGCACCCCCTGGCACGTACCATGCTCCGTCCGTTGCTCTCCCACAGCTGCACCACGAGCAATCCGCCACACTCCGGAGCTTGGAGGCTGAGAGGCACACTCAGAGGCATGCACACACACACACGCACACATGCACACCCCACCGCCTTCCCCCCTTTCCCCCACACGCACATGCACAGTCCTTATCCACTCGCTGCCATTCCTGTCCGTCTCGCAGGACGTGAGGCACACACACGCATGGGGAGAGAGAGACACACACACAGAAGCGGCTCAACAAGGGAGGGTTAGGAGCAGCAAAAAAGGAGGCGAGTGGCAAAGACAAGAACAAGACACGACTCCTGCCTCTGTGCGGCGACTCGCTACGATTCACAGCCCCCCTGCAAGCACCCCCTGGCACGTACCATGATCTGTCCGCTGCTCTCCCAGTTTTGCGCCACGCCTTCACTTGAGGCATCCACGTGCTGCCATTGCTCTCCGTCTCGCAGGCCACGAGGCACACACACACATTCGGAGAGAGAAAGAGACACACACATGGGGGGAGAGAGAGAGAGAGACACACACACACACACGTTGGGGGAGAGAGAGACACACATAGAAGAAGGTTAGAAAGCAGGTGGCGAGTGGTGGACCCACAACAAGCAACAGACACGACTCTTGCCTCTGCGCGGCGACACTCTATGACAGTTCACGGCCCCCCCGCAAGCAGCCCCTGGCACGTACCATGCTCCCTTAGCTGCTCTCCCACTCCTGCGCCATGCCCTCACTTCAGGCGTGCTGCTCCAGGTGTGGTGGACTGGTTGGTCTGATGGACTCACACCTCCTTGTGTGCTGGCCTGGCCATCATCCTGGCCATGAAGGGGGGAGAGCGAGGCAAAGGAATCAGGTTAACCGCATACAGTAAGACAAGAGAGAGAGCCACATAGACAAGGGTGAACTTAGATGGGTAAGCTCTGAGACACCCTGACAAGAGCACAGGCGGCATTGAACAACCAACAAATAGAGGGAACTAGGTGGCGATAGGATAAGCTGCACTCACTCACCCCTCCATTTCCGCTGAAGCCACCAGTGCAGCTGTCACTGACTTGCAACTGACGTTGGCACCACTGGCACCGCTGCCCATGCCGTGATAGATGCTGGAGTTTGGCTGCTGCCGCCGCCGGCACCTCTGACATGCGAGAGGAGATGGCACATGGCACCAGTGCAGCTGTCACTGACTTGCAACTGACGCTGGCACCACTGGCACCGCTGCCCATGCGGCTGGTTCTGGACAAAAGGTGTGGCACTGCTGCCACCAGTGCAGCTGCTGCACCAGTGCTGCTGCTGCCAATGCGGCTGTCCACGGCGCGTGCTCTGGATAAAAGCTGCTGATGAATGGGCGGAGAGTTGAGAAGAGCAGACGGCAGGAGTGGAGAGGTTTCGGAGCTGAGAAGAGTGCCATGAAACTCTGGCAATACACCAGCAAAGATATGTGGGCACCGTGGAAATCTCCCAACTGGTAGACATGACCGAACTGCACAAGAGAACGCATAAACACGGCGAATGGAGAAGCGGTGCAGCCACTGGTGATCCATGCGAATGAAGTTGATCTGATGGACTCACAACTCCTTGTGCGCTCGCCATCATCCCGCAGCTGCTGCAGCCACTGGTGATCCATGCGTTGTTGCAGACACTGGCGATCCCTGCCCCTCGAGTGCTGGAGGTGAGGGGAGGAAGGAAGGTAAGGAAGAGGAAGCGAGGCCTGAGCAAGAAGAGACAAGTGAGTGGATGAGAGGCCGAGCAGAAGCGAGTGGATGAGATGGCAGGCGAAGGCTGGAGAAGGGACTGAGATAGAATGGCATGCATGGTGCATCTGAACTCGCGGTTACCTCTTGATTTGAAGAAACTTTGCAGGAGAATTAAGGCGCCGTTTCTCCATGCTAAACGGTTGCCTCTCGTCCATTCCCCGTCCGCTCCCTCCCTCTCCGTCTCGCAGGCCGTGAGGAACACACACGCATGAGGAGAGAGAGCCACACAGAAGCGATGCAACAGGGGATGGTTAGAAGCAGCAGGAGGGGAGGCGAGTGGTGGAGGCAAAAGCATCAGACACGACTCTTGCCTCTGCGCGGCGACACCCTCCGACTCAATTCACGGCCCCCCCGCAAGCACACCCTGGCACGTACCACCCTGCCGCTCTGCTTGCACCACGCCTGCTCTGCAAGCGTGCTACTCCAGGCTGCTCTGTTGCGCCAAGCCTTCGCTCCAAGTAGCGCCCTGCTGCTGCTCGTGCTCCTGGTTGCTCCATTGCTTCTGCTACTGCAGTCGTTGCTGTCGTCGCAACCACCGGTCGCTGCAGAGGACAGACGGGGACAGGAGAGAAGGGGTTTGAGAACTGAGAAGTGTGGCATGAAAACATGGCAACACAGCTGCAAAGACTCATGGGCGCCATGGGAGGATGGTAGACATGAGATAACGGAACAGAAAGCAGGAAGATGGTGAAGAGTGAAGAGAGAAAGCAGGAAGATGGTGAAGAGAGAACAGAGAAAGCAGGAAGGTGGTGAAGAGTGAAGAGAGAAAGCAGGAAGATGGTGAAGAGAGAAGAGAGAAAGCAGGAAGATGGTGAAGAGAGAACAGACAAAGCAGGAAGATGGTGAAGAGTGAAGAGAGAAAGCAGGAAGATGGTGAAGAGAGAACAGAGAAAGCAGGAAGATGGTGAAGAGTGAAGAGAGAAAGCAGGAAGATGGTGAAGAGAGAACAGAGAAAGCAGGAAGATAGTGAAGAGAGAACAGAGAAAGCAGGAAGATGGTGAAGAGTGAAGAGAGAAAGCAGGAAGATGGTGAAGAGTGAAGAGAGAAAGCAGGAAGATGGTATACTGTTTGATCGCCTCGCCACCATCCTGCAGTCGCTGCAGCCATTGGTGATCCCCGCTGCCACTAGCTGCCATTTCCCCCGTCTCGCAGGCCATGAGGCACACACACGCATGGGGAGAGAGATACACACACAGAAGTGGCACAACAAGGGAGTGTTAGGAGCAGCAGGAGAGGAGGCAAGTGGCAGAGGCAAGAGCAACAGACACGACTCTTGCCTCTGCGCGGCGACTCCCTACGACTGACTTCACTCCCCCCCTGCAAGCACCCCCTGGCACGTACCAATTCTCCTCCTTAGTAGAGCCTGCCACTCCTGCGCCACACGCTCGACCCAAGCAGCACCTGCTGCGACCCGCGCTCCAGGTGCCAGGCGTGCTGCTCCAGCTTGCCTGCAATGAGAAGGGACTGTGGCTTGTGAGTCAGGCCAAAACCAACAAGTTGCGAGATTTCAGAGGAGAGAGCAGTGAAGAACGTGCAGTAGAAGCATGAGCGCTTGGCATCACAAAAGGCAAAGCGTTCAGATGAGAACATACTTGCCTGAAAAGTCAATGCGCTGTTGCATTCACTAGCACTGCTCCTGCTGCTTCAATTCACCAGCGGTGCTGCATTCACCAGCGCTGCTGCATTCACCAGCGCTGCTGCATTCACCAGCGCTGCTGCTGTTTCTCGGGCTGAATAAAGCCTGCACACTTGTCACCCGCGTCCACTCCCTGCCATTCCCCGTCTCGCAGGCCATGAGGCACACACACACGAGGGGAGAGAGGCACGCAGACAGAAGCAGCACAATAAGGGAGGGTTAGAAGCAGTAGGAAAGGAGGCGAATGGTGGAGGCAAGGGCAAGGACTCTTGCCTCTGCGCGGCGACGCCCTACGACTCACTTCACGGCCCCCCTACCAGCACCCCCTGGCACGTACGTACCATGCTATGTCCCAATCCTGCGCAACGCCTTCACTTCAGGCGTGCTGCTTCGGGATGACTCTCGAGCGAGGCAGCAAGGGAAGTCTCGTCCGTTCCGCGTCCACTCCGCGCCAATCCGCGTCCACTCCGCGCCAATCCGCGTCCACTCCGCGCCATTCCGCGTCTACACGGAGCCATTCCGCGTCTACACTGTGCCATTGCACTTCACCTCGGAGACCGTGAGGCACACACACGCGCATGGGGAGAGAGAGACAGCCACACAGAAGCAGCAAAATAAGGGAGGGTTAGAAGCAGCAGGAAGCGAGTGGTGGAGCAGCAAGCAGACACGACTCTTGCCTCTGCGCGGCGATGCCTACGACTCACTTCACGGCCCCCCTGCAAGCACCCCTCCGTGCACGTACCACGTTCCGTCCGGCACTCTGCCGCTGCTGCGCCACGCCTTCACTTCAGGCGTGCTGCTCCTGGCTGTCTCTCGTGCGCGCCAGCAACGGCCGCCGCGTCGATTCCCTGTCCATCCAATGCAATTCTCGTCCGTCTCGCAGCCGTAAGTCACACACACGCTCGGGGAGAGGGACACGCATACAGAAGCATCGAGAACAAGGGAGGGGGGGTTAGAGGCAGCAGGTGGCAAGTGGTGGAGCTGCAAGCAACAAATACGACTCTTGCCTCTGCGCGGCGACGCCTACGACCTACTTCACGGCCCCCCTGCAAGCACCTCCTGACACGTACCACGTTCCGTTCGCCGCTCGCCGCGCCGTCAGTTGACGCGTGCTGCTCCAGGCCGCTCGGTTGCTGCTGCTGCTGCAGTCGTTGCTCTCGTCGCCACCACCACCGCGTCTCTGTCTTGGTCAAGACCCGACTGCAATCCTCGAGCGACGGCGGAAACAGCAGCTCCGTCGCTTGGACGGCGGAAACAGCAGCTCCGTCGCTTTGACGGCAGAAACAGCAGCTCCGTCGCTTTGACGGCGGCGGAAACAGCAGCTCCGTCGCTTTGACGGCGGAAACGGCAGATATTGCGGTGACGGTGATGATTCGATGGCGGAAGCAGCAGCAACTCGCTTTGACCTCGGAAGTTGTTGACAGCGAAAACGGAAGTAGCGTTGTTTTGTCGGCGGAAATGACAGCGCCGTCGCTTTGGAGCCGGAAACGGCGGAAACGGCGGAAACTGCAGTAAAGTAGTGTCTACAGCGGAAGCAGTAGGGATGTCGTTTTCATCGCGGAAATGGCAGCAACGCTACTGCTTCGACGCCGAAACCGTCAGCAGTGTTTCTTCAACACAGCTGTTCTGACGGAAGCACCAATAGCGACGTCGCGTCGGCGGAAACAGCAGGTAGGCCTCTACGCGTAAAGCAGCTAACAGGTTGGCGTTATGGCGGAAAAAGTAGCTAAGTCTTGACGGCTATAGCAGCGACGATGATGCCTTTTCTGGCCGAAGTAGCGGCTACGTCGCTTTGATGAGAAAAAAAGCAGCAACGTCACATTGATGACGAAACACCGCAATACTTCTAGGACGGTTGAAGCAGCGCCGGTGGCGATGCCTTGGCGGAACGCCGTCTATAGAAGCTCAACGTCGTACTCGCCTTAACTTGGGATGAGGTTCATCGTATGATACCATTTCAAGTCCGAATCCCAATCACCACGTTCACAGCGTCCTAATTACATTTGGTCTAGATCGGCAGACAGAGTCGAGGCTAATAAACTATGAGCGAGTTTAAGCATAGTTCATGTGAGCGAGTGAACGAGGGGACAGTGCAACCAACAGCCGACATAGCTAGACATGGCTCAGGGCGAAGATAAGAAAAACGGCAGGCCTAGAGACAGTGCAAGCCGTGGATAAGAAACCGAAGGGAATTGCTTGTCCCGCTCTGAACAATTGCAAGGAGAAACCAAGGGAAAAACCTCCAGCAAAATTTGGCTGGAAGGCGGGCGCGCGGCTGAATTCCTCCGTCAACTTCCGTCCCATGCCATACCAAACAAGCCCAGTCCCTTGGCCCATGAAACCTAAAGGCATTTCATGCTAGCGAGGAGGAGGTTCGGATCATAAGTGGGAGGCGGTCATTGGCTGGCCAAGGCGGTTGCCAGATTAGTCAGAGCGTACATTTGAAAATTTTGGAGGGAGTATGGAGGCTCGGTGGGACGAGGTTCGGTCGAAATGGTTAGGAAGATAATCTGCGATAATGGGCAAACTCAAGGGCGGTTTACCAGAAACATTCTGTTATATCAAGCTCTACAAAAAAATACTTCATGATTCAATAAAAATAGTTGCCTAAACAATAATCCAGTATGATATCTTGAATGCAAACAATGATATTTTTTAAACACTTCTACAAGGCTTCACGAAGATTCCCCGTCGGCCTGTGCATGGCCAGGCACTGCTACATGAAAGGTTAATTCGGGAAGAAAAACCGCAGACATATTTTATCCATCCATCCGGCCATCAAGTGCCGAGGTTCCAAATAAATACAGGCTGCCAAGGATGCTCACTAGGCATGTCCTGCCATGCAGTCTTCCAAAAATGCACGTTCTGAAATTGAAATCCCCTCCTGACGATTCAACCTCTCTCAATCCCTCCCACACCGTACCTTCCAGACCTACTCAAATCTCAAGTTTGTCCCTTACTGTCACATCCACTTATTCCATCCTTCCCTGCCTCATACAAACTACAGCCTATCCTCACTCTTCCCGGCCAGCCCACGTAGCCCAGTCTGCCTCATCCCACCGAATCTCGCCCAATCACCTCATCTCACTAACCAAATTCGCACACGATCACCATCGCACCGTATCACACCCATCATGCACTCCCTCACAAATTTATCACCCATTCCACCTCCCTCACTCACTCCGCAGTATCTCACTCACCCTCCTCATCGAGCCTAGTTCAGCCCAGCCTGCCTCATCCCAAGCCAACCCATCCGACCTACATCAACCTCACCAACCTGCTACTTCCTCTGGCCAATCCCCTACGTCACCCAGCCTATGTCCATTCCTTACCTCACCTGCACCCTCATGCCACTCTTTCCTATCACACAACCACCCCCTCGCCACCTGCTACTTGACCACCCCACATACCCTGCCTCGTACCAACCCACCATGCCCAACCCACTGTGCACCAGAACCCACCTTCCCATCTACACACCTACCCACCTACCCACCAACCATAACCCACCTACCGAGCACCTTCACCCATCTACCCATCACCCGTCACCCACCTTCCCATCACCCATCACCCACCTACACACCCCCTCACCCAACCAACCCATCAATTCCATAGCCACCACAAAACGCATCACCCACCACCTGCCCACCCTGTTAGACACCCAACCACCTGTGCACTACCCACCACCCAGCCACCCAACACCCTACCCACCCACCTAGTTACCCAACGACCTACCTACCCACCTACCCCACCCATTCACCCACCCACCACCAACCCACCCAACCACCCACCTACTCAACCATTCACCCATTCACCCACCCACCCACCCACCCACTGATTCAACCAGCCAGCCGCCCGCCGACATACCAAGATACCACCCAGGCAACTACCCATCTATTCACCGGCCGACTTACCAAGATACCACCCAGGCAACTACCCATCTATTCACCCGCCGACTTACCAAGATACCACCCAGGCAACTACCCATCTATTCACCCGCCGACTTACCAAGATACCACCCAGGCAACTACCCAACCCACCTACCAGCCTACCCATCTATTCACCCAAACACTTACATACCCACCCATCCACCCACAAATCCAACCCATCACCCATCCTCCAACTATCCATATACCCACCAACCCACCCTGGTGCCTACCCACCCACCCACATACCCACATACCCACATACCCACTTATCCACATACCCACTTACCCACATACCCACTTACCCACATACCCACTTACCCACTTACCCACCTAACCACCCACCCGGCCCCCCACCTACCCACTTACCCACCCACCCACCCAACCCATCTCCTATCCACAACCTAACCACCCACCTATCCACTTACCCACTTCCCTTACCTCTCACTCACCCATCCAAAGAGATACAGCCCCTTTCCCCCCACTCACCCACCCAAGGGATTCAGCCCCCTTCCCTTATACTCACCCACCCAAGGGGTTTCAACTCCCTTCCCTTATACTTACCCACCCAAGGGGGATCAACCCCCTTCCCTTATACTCACCCACCCAAGGGGGTTCAGCCCCCCTCCCTTATACTCACCCACCCAAGGGGATTCAGCCCCCCTCCCTTATACTCACCCACCCAAGGGGATTCAGCCCCCTTATACTCACTCACTCAAGGGGACTCAGCCCCCTTCCCTGTCACTCACCCACCCACCCATCCCCTCACCTGCCAGCAGTAGGAGCAGCAGAGAGCCCACTTCCTTACAAAACAGCAACTCCAGAAGCTGTGTCTTGCGGGATGAAGTGTGGTAGTGGAAAATTGCTTCGAGCCCAAGACTCAAATCCCACCCCTGACGTAGCTAGAGCTGACGCGAACCAGAGCCGCCGGCCGGTCGGCTGTGACGGTGTCCATGAAGCCTTGAACGCCAGATTGGGAACCAGAGCACAAGTGCCGTGCCGCACCGATTCCACCCTCCACACCCCGCCCCACAAACAAGTCGCAACCACAGAGGATGCTGC